GTGTGGAGTGCTGTGTGTGAGGGGTGCTGTGTGTCTCTGAGGGGTGCTGTGTGTGTGAGGGGTGCTGTGTGTGAGAGGGGTGCTGTGTGTGAGAGGGGTTCTGTGTGTGAGGGGGTGCTGTGTGTGTGAGAGGGGGTGCTGTATGTGGGAGGTTCTGTGTGTGGGGCTGCGCTGTGTGTGTGTGTGGAGGATGGAGGTGTGTGGAGGATGCTGTGTGTGTGTGGGGGGGTGCCGTGTGTGGGGGTGCTGTGTGTGGGGGGTGCTGTGTGTGTGAGAGGGGTGCTGTGTGTGTGGGGGGTGGGGTGCTGCAAATATATTAATGTGTGGAGCATTGTCACGGCAACACTCCACACAGATTGCTCGTGGGAGCACAGGAGAGCTGCTTCCCAGATCCCTCCCCTTGCATCCAGGTCCTCACGACACGAAAGCAGAGTAGGTGCGGGTGTTTTGGGCAGGCAGGTGCCTACTCTGCATTGCACCCCCCCAACACCCTTTGGCCTCGTACCCACAGAGAGGGCCCGGCATGCCATAGGTTCGCCATTACTGCTATAGGGTGTTGCCCCCCCCCCAACCTCCTTAGAAAATGTTAAAACGTGCCTTATTTCCAGTGCCCATGGATCCGCCTCTTTGATGATATCATCCAGATTTCTGATTTTTAGCCAATCCAATGCTTTCCCTATGGGAAAGCATTGGATTGGCTAAAATTGTCGAGGAGGCATGGTTGGGGTGGGGCCACTGTTTTAGCCAATCAGCACCTTCTCATAGAGATGCATTTAATCAATGCATCTCCAGGAGGAAAATTCAGTGTCTCCATACAGAGTGTGGAGATGCTGAATGGCAGTGCTGTATACTGTGCAGCACTGCCCTAGGAAGCATCTCCAGTGGCCATCTGAGTGGTAGCCAGAAACGGCAGTGTTTGCATGAAAATGTCTAAAGGTAATGATTCTACTCACCAGAACAACTATATTAATTTGTAGTTGTTCTGGTGACTATAGTGTCCCTTTAATTCAGATTTTTAATTACTACAGACTGTCATCTTCATAGACAACAATAGCAAAGAACGTACCCACAAAAAGGAAAATATTATGAATAACAATGTAACTAAACAACTTTCTAAACTTTGACTTTTCAGATAATAATCTTTACAAATGGCATTCCCAAGCATCAGGCCTTGGTGTTCAAAGGGAAAGCTTCTTCAAAACGCATGTAATTCTACTTAAGAGTATTTACATTTAAAAGGTTTAAATTGATATATACCAGGTCTCTTTCATCTGCCGTTTTGATCTTTAAAATGCAATTCATTCTGTATTTCACATTAGTGTAGGATTTGTGACATAATAATAAAGAGACACTCCTCGAAGAGTGTATAGAAACATTCAACTAGGAGAGTTGTCAGGTGCAGGTACTTGGAGAGTGCCAATACAATAAAATGGTAAATTAAAATATAATAATAAATATCAGCAAATAGTATAAGGAATACCAGAGTGTAAAAATACTAATAAAACTATAAAAATATGAACACAATCATATAAAAGCGCAAAATACAATATATATAAACTAAGCCACAATCCTTTGTGTATAACAGAGAATGGTAGGTGCTGGATTCTAGTTAATCACCCTGCAGAGGTTGACCAACTGTCACAAAATATATTAACCCCTTAAGGACACATGACATGTGTGATATGTCATGATTCCCTTTTATTCCAGAAGTTTGGTCCTTAAGGGGTTAAAGGGCCACTATAGTGACCATACAACTTTAACTTAATGAAGCAGTTTTGGTGTATATAGCATGCCCCTGCAGTTTCACTGCTCAGTTCTCTGCTATTTAGGAGTTAAAGGACCACTCCACACCCCAAAAGCACTTCAGCTTGCCGAAGTGCTTTATGGGTGAGGAGTAGCCTAGTTTAAGCCCAGTTTATAAAAGTGCTGATTTCAATGAGAAATCAGCACTTTTATAAATTTGCTAGGGAACACCCCCTGACTTTAAATCAAACAGCCAGGGAGAATTCCTTCCTACTCCCCTACTCCCCTACTCCCCTGGGCTAACGGAAGTGGCAGGCACGCTCTACTTGAGCGTATCTGCCTCCCCACTCACCAGTTCCTTTGCTCCAGATCTCAGAACAGACGTGTATGCGTGCTCACGAGCTGACTCACGCACACATATATGTGCGTGCATGTGCATTCAGGAGCTTCTCAATTGCGTTAAGAGACTGCAAATCCGGGCAAAAAGGGGAGGGCTTTCTAAAGCTGTAGTTCATAAAATCTGCAGCATTTGCAAGTTGTTTTAGCATATACCCCGAATGAATTCATTCATATGCGATATGTCTACTAAACAGTGATTTCATTAAGCTTAAGTTGTTTGGTGACTATAGTGTCTCTTTAAAGAATAGGTATCCGCACACTACAGGGATTGCAGAATTATTAGGCAAGTTGTATTTTTGAGGATTAATTTTATTATTGAACAACAACCATGTTCTCAATGAACCCAAAAAACTCATTAATATCAAAGCTGAATATTTTTGGAAGTAGTTTTTAGTTTGTTTTTAGTTATAGCTATGTTACGGGGATATCTGTGTGTGCAGGTGACTATTACTGTGCATAATTATTAGGCAACTTAACAAAAAACAAATATATACCCATTTCAATTATTTATTATTACCAGTGAAACCAATATAACATCTCAACATTCACAAATATACATTTGACATTCAAAAACAAATCAGTGACCAATATAGCCACCTTTCTTTGCAAGGACACTCAAAAGCCCGCCATCCATGGATTCTGTCAGTGTTTTGATCTGTTCACCATCAACATTGCGTGCAGCAGCAACCACAGCCTCCCAGACACTGTTCAGAGAGGTGTACTGTTTTCCCTCCTTGTAAATCTCACATTTGATGATGGACCACAGGTTCTCAATGGGGTTCAGATCAGGTAAACAAGGAGGCCATGTCATTAGATTTCCTTCTTTTATACCCTTTCTTGCCAGCCACGCTGTGGAGTACTTGGACGCGTGTAATGGAGCATTGTCCTGCATGAAAATCATGTTTTTCTTGAAGGATGCAGATTTCTTCCTGTACCACTGCTTGAAGAAGGTGTCTTCCAGGAACTGGCAGTAGGACTGGGAGTTGAGCTTGACTCCATCCTCAACCCGAAAAGGCCCCACAAGCTCATCTTTGATGATACCAGCCCAAACAAGTACTCCACCTCCACCTTGCTGGCGTCTGAGTCGGACTGGAGCTCTCTGCCCTTTACCAATCCAGCCACGGGCCCATCCATCTGGCCCATCAAGACTCACTCTCATTTCATCAGTCCATAAAACCTTAGAAAAATCAGTCTTGAGATATTTCTTGGCCCAGTCTTGACGCTTCAGCTTGTGTGTCTTGTTCAGTGGTGGTCGTCTTTCAGCCTTTCTTACCTTGGCTATGTCTCTGAGTATTGCACACCTTGTGCTTTTGGGCACTCCAGTGATGTTGCAGCTCTGAAATATGGCCAAACTGGTGGCAAGTGGCATCGTGGCAGCTGCACGCTTGACTTTTCTCAATTCATGGGCAGTTATTTTGTGCCTTGGTTTTTCCACACGCTTCTTGCGACCCTGTTGACTATTTTGAATGAAACGCTTGATTGTTCGATGATCACGCTTCAGAAGCTTTGCAATTTTAAGAGTGCTGCATCCCTCTGCAAGATATCTCACTATTTTTGACTTTTCTGAGCCTGTCAAGTCCTTCTTTGACCCATTTTGCCAAAGGAAAGGAAGTTGCCTAATAATTATGCACACATGATATAGGGTGTTGATGTCATTAGACCACACCCCTTCTCATTACAGAGATGCACATGACCTAATATGCTTAATTGGTAGTAGGCTTTTGAGCCTATACAGCTTGGAGTAAGACAACATGCATAAAGAGGATGATGTGGTCAAAATACTCATTTGCCTAATAATTCTGCACTCCCTGTATATCAACATAAAATATTGTCATTTTTTTAATTTAGAGAATTTTCAGTAATTGTACTAAATGCAAAAAATGTAGACAACAGTACATGAGTAGAGTTGAACGGACACCTGGATGTTCGGGTCCGACGGGTTCGGCCGAACTTTGAAAAAAGTCCACGTTCGGGCTTGAACTTGACCCCGAACTTGACCCCGAACGTTTGGCCACAAAAATGCCTCTAAAAACTCCTGGAAAGGGCTAGAGAGCTGCTAAAGGAAGTAAAATGTGGGTAAGAGTAGGACAAGTGCCAAAACAAATGTGGATAGGGAAATCACTTAAAATAACATAAATATTAAAAATACAGCTGAGCCATAAAATAGCACTAGATGGAATCTTTGATTTTAGCTTTGGAAGAACATAAAGCAAAATCTAAAGCATGGCTGTCAGGAAGATCACCAGAATTATCCATTTGAGAGAGGGTTGGAGTGCAGGGTATTCTCTTTCATTGTTCAAACTGAGCTCTGAGCGTTTTAATTGTGGTAGCCCACAAAATATTGGGACATACAAATAAAGAAACATTTGCGGCCTGCAGTGCATTTATTGCAGTCCTGATGCATGGAGAAAAAGGCGTTCATAAGCCTCTGCTAATGTGTACCTAGTTTATACTAAGTGACCCATAGGTTGAGGAGGCGGTGACCGTGGCGGTGGAGGAGAAAGCTTTGGTGGAGGAGGAGGAGGAGGTAGTCAACACTGTATTTTATGGGTTTTTTTTTAATTGTGGTAGCCCACAAAATATTGGGACATACAAATAAAGAAACATTTGCGGCCTGCAGTGCATTTATTGCAGTCCTGATGCATGGAGAAAAAGGCGTTCATAAGCCTCTGCTAATGTGTACCTAGTTTATACTAAGTGACCCATAGGTTGAGGAGGCGGTGACCGTGGCAGTGGAGGAGGAAGCAGCGGTGGAGGAGGAGGATGAGGTAACCAACACTGTAGTTTATGTTTGTTTGTTTTTTAATTGTGGTAGCCCACAAAATATTGTGACATACAAATAAAGAAACATTTGCGGCCTGCGGTGCATTTCTTGCAGTCCTGATGCATGGAGAAAAGGCCTTCACAAGCCCCGTAGCGGTGACTTTGCATGCGGATGTCATCCATATCAACTTTCGATGCCAGTTTCTGCGCCTACCATGGTGACCATGGGTAACAGGGAATCAGGGTTCCATTCCATACAGGGACCCTGAGAAACGGCTACCACATGCAAGGAAGGCAGCAGGCGCGCAAATGACTCACTCCCGATGCGGGAAGGTACTGACAACAAATAACAATACAGGATTCTTTAGAGGCCCTGTAATTGTAATGAGTCCACTTGAAATCCTTTAACTCTGATCAATTGGAGGGAAGTCTGGTGCAGAGCCACTGACCCGTGCGTGCTGCAGCTGAAACTCCACTATCGCCTGCTGCTGCTTACAAAGTCTCATGAGGCGGTGAGTGGGAAGGCCGAAGTTACGCTGCAGCGCAGACAGGCAACAGGGTGACAACTCCAAAAGTGTGCACAGCCGCTACAGTGAATGTCACATCCTGACAGTGTCTGGGTCCTGGTCACCGGACTGCCCACCTCACTGTGAAACTACGAATGGATCGTTAAATCTGGTACGAATCCAAACTTTGCAGTTCGGGTTCGCTCAAGTCTATTATGGATTCTTTGATCGCTACATGTATTACTTGGATAACTGGTAGTTCTCGAGCTAATACATGCCGACGAGTGCTAGGGGACGGCCGCTCCGCTTTTGCACCCTGCTCCCTCTTATGCTGTGCTTGTGCCTCTGTGCGACAAACGCCTCTTCTTCCAAACTGCACACGTCACTTGCATGACCTTGATTCCATGTGGGGTCTAGGACCTCATCATTCTCCACATCATTTTCCACCCACTCCTCAACCCTTCCCTCCTTGCCAGTATGCACACTGCAGAAAGCCACAGCAGTTGGCACCTGTGTTTTTCCACCATGTAAAGTCTGCAAAGGACATATGGAAATTGTTTTAGAATTTCCTCTAGGCAACAGTTTTCCCTATAAACTGACCTGTCAGTTTGACTTGTGAGGGTATTGCCCCAGAATTACAATATTGTTGAAGTACCTCTTAGCTATTGATCACTGGTTTAAATATAGCAGCTTGTTATCTGGTAGTTTCTAGTGTAGAAAATATCAATCTATTTTCTATCACTTCTGTGTAACAAGTGTTGTAGGTGTGAAATATTACAAGTGACCAATGTAGTAAATTCGAATCAAAGTTCATTTTGCAAAAAGAATGCTTGCCCATCTTCTGTGGGTTATTGCATTTTTAAGATGTAGACTTATTGGATCACACTAGCCATGCACAGGTAGATTGTCTGGCACGTTGTTTTGGTGTTTGGTTTTTAACTTTATAGTTGTGTCTTTACACAATATAGAAATGTATATTAATGCTTCTGTATATGAAGCGATCACAATAACATTTATTTTTCACTTTTTATAAAAAAAAAACAGGCTACACAAAAATTGGTAATTCACAATATGACATCTGAAAAGCACATGAAAGGATGCTGTATGATTTTAAAAAAACACCATATGAAGGTCCTGTTCACTATAGTGTGTAGTCATGAATGTAACCAGTAAAACCTTGTTGTTTACAGCCACTGGTTGGCCCATACATATTTTAAAACTTGTTTAATTTTGTTGTTGCATAACTTGTAGATATGAAGAGCAGGCCCCAAATGTACTATTTAGCAGATTAGCAGCAAAACAATTAGAATGTTTACAAGTGCGCAGAAAGCACATTATTAAATGCTTCGATTTGTCAGGATTACTGTTTGATCCAGCACGTAGAACTGTACAGCACGGATGACAAATAAGTAACGTATTACCGGTCCTTAGAATGGCCGGATTTAACGTACAAAGAATAGTCAAAAATACTAGCCGAGGTCAGGAAACAGAAAGGGACACAGCGATGAGGAAAGCCAGGAGTCAGGATACCAGAATATAGAGAAGTCAATAAACAAAGCCAAAGTCAAAACCAGGTAGAAAACTATAAACAGGAACGCGCTCTCAGACAACCACAAGGGAAACCACGACAGGGCACTGAGCAGGCTGAGAACTGGGCCTAAATACCCCTCCTTTAGTTCTGATAGGCTGTAACCGGCCTTTGACCCCAAAGTCAGTTACCAGGTTTTATTTGCATAATTGCTGCTCAGCATTAACCCTACTGTGGATTAGGTTGCTGCTCGGCACAACTTTTCCTGTGTGGACAGTAAATGTCATTAATCACTTTTCTATAAGCGGATGAATATGTGACATTACCCCCCACCTGAAGAACGCCCACTGGGTGGACAGGACCAGGCTTGAGAGGAAATTTAGCGTGAAAAGCGCGGATCTTACGGCCCGCATGCAGGTCAGGAGCCGAAACCCAAGAACGATCAGCAGGACCGTAACCTTTCCAAACAACCAAGTACTGTAAAGTGCCCCGAGAAAACCTAGAATCCACGATAGAAGATACCTCATACTCTTCCTGACCACCCACCACCACCGGAGGGGGAGGAACACAAGGAACAGTATATCTATTGCAGACAAGAGGTTTGAGTAAGGACACATGAAAAGTGTTGGGAATCCCTAAAGATGCAGGAAGAGCCAGAGAGTAAGACACTGGATTGATCCTACGAAGCACTCTATAGGACCAAGGAATCTGGGGGCAAACTTCATGCTAGGGACCTTAAGCTTGATGTTGCGAGATGACAACCAAACTTGGTACACCGGGTTGGCACTCCTACGCTTATCAGCAAAATGTTTGAAGCGTTCAGCAGCAGCCCCTAGAGCAGTTTGAACCTTAACCCAGGTATCCCGAATGGAGGCCAGACGCTCATCCAGAGCAGGAATGGCAGTATCAGAAAATACCGCAGGGAGAACCGTAGGATGCCTACCATTATTGACAAAAAATGGACTGTGCCCAGAGGAGTCATGAACAGCATTGTTTCTAGCGAACTCGGCCCACGGGAGTAGTTCGGACCAATTGTCTTGTGTGCTATTAATAAAACAACGCAAATAAACTTCTAATGACTGGTTAGCCCTCTCAGCTGTACCATTGGTCTGTGGATGGTAGGAGGAGGAGAAGGAGAGATCAATCCCCAATTGTTTACTGAACGCCCTCCAGAACCTGGACACAAACTGAGAGCCCCTATCAGACACAATATTGTGGGAGATGCCATGCAAAAGGACAATTTCACGTATGAAAATTAGGACCAAATCTTGCGAAGATGGCAACTTCTTGAGAGGAATGAAGTGAGCCATCTTAGAAAATCGGTCTACAACCATGAGAATAGTAGTGAACCCAGCAGAGCTAGGAAGCTCAACAATAAAGTCCATGGATAGGTGGGACCATGGAATCTCAGGAACAGGAAGAGGCTGCAACAGGCCACAAGGAAGTGCATGAGTCACCTTAGAAACTGCACACACAGAACATGCCTGCACATACTCCTTTACATCTTTCCTGAGTGAATCCCACCAAAATGATCTAGTGATCGCGGCAGTGGACTTATTGATGCCCGGGTGTCCAGCAGTTATATTGTCATGGAACACTTTCATGATATTAACCCTTTCACATAGGGGAACAAACAGTTTATCACACGGTTTACCACTGGGCGCCTGAGGCTGGGCCTCCAGTATGGTGCCAAGCAGTGGAGAAGACAGTGAGAGGACAGTAGTAGCAATAATACACTCTGGTGGGATAATAGGAGATGTCATCTGTTCCGGAGCTGACTCATTATCAAATTGCCTGGACAAGGCATCAGCCTTGGTATTTTTAGAACCAGGTCTATAAGTAATGAGAAAGTTAAAACATGAAAGGAACAGTGACCATCTAGCCTGTCTGGAAGACAAACGTTTGGCATCCCCTATATATGCCAGATTTTTGTGGTCGGTTATGATCAACAGGGGGTCCTTGGAACCCTCCAAAAGATGTCGACACTCCTTGAGGGCAAGAATAATGGCCAACAGTTCTCTATTGCCAATATCATAGTTGAAACAATTGGAGTACAGCTCACTAAGGTATACTGCTAGAGTAGAGGGGGGTAACCCCTAGTGGAATCAAAGAAGAGAGAAAAAAAGGAGGGAGCAGTATACTTATGTTGGGGCACTGGAAACCTAGCAAGAAAGCTAAATTAAGCATCTAGGTCAAAAAAACAAAAAATCTTTATTAATTAAATTAGTTAAAAAAACGCCACAACTAATGGCGATCACCTGAGTGTAACACACATACTGAATGAAGTGTACGATAGAACAAAGAAAAATGTGTAACAAAGAAAAATGTGTAAATAGGAAATAAAATGAAAAATAATGAAAATAGAAATAAAATCAATGAGACTAACTTGATATAAAGATTCTAAACGTAGCACTCAATAAATTCTCTGTTACAGCTCACATCTGTGCTGAACAGAAAAAAGTGTTGAACCTACAGTGTACCGGGGGTGGGGGAGGGGAGGAAAAAGGGGGATAAGGTATTCTGAAATGTAGGAAAAGAAAATCCTAACTGTGGATATAGATTAAACTGCCTATAACAAAGAGAGCCTGAGTGCTGAGTATATTTCTGAAAGAATATAGGAGAAAATCCTAGATATCAGGATATTTCCTTAGATAGGGGAAATGTTGCTAAATATGTATTATTGCATATACTGCGAACTCAGTGTACAGGAGAACGTTAGAAAATCGCTGTAAGGAAACCCCCTATGTTACTGCAGGGGCACCTAAAGCAAGCACCTTTCGTTGAGGTAATAGTAAAAAGAAAAAGGCAGTAAGTAAAAAAGATGATTAAATGTCAATAGACTAATTAGATAGCCCCCCCGTGCCTTCGAGGGCACCTAGATCCAACCCCCCTTGATCAGTAGGAAATCGAGTGTTAGAAAGAAAAGTCTCAAATACATATAGTGGGCTGTATGATAAGTCCCTTAAGTAGATACAAGCTACCAAATAAATGTAGCCGGCTGTATAGAAAAATCACTTGGTGAATCCCTTAAGTAGATACAAAATATCAAAATGATGTAGCCGGCAGTACAATGAATCCCTTGACGCGCGCGTTTCACCCGACCAGGCTCGTCAGAAGGGAACCGGTCGGTGTGAGACACTCGGTTTAAAAAAGGAGCAGATAGCTCATGATTGGTTATCGAGGAAGATGCTTCTGATTGGTAGATGCCGTGACGTCATGGGGTTTGGTCCGCCCAATTGATGGTGTATTGAAGAGAGATGATATTAACCCCTTATGTCCCCAGACAAAGTAGAAACAGAAATATGAGATTTATGTGTAAGAAAATTACAGCTTGGAAAAAGCATTCCGTGCTGCATATAGATGGTGTGGCACATTTTGTATCACAGTATAATGATAAGTTTGTATAAATCATACTGAAAGTGAAAAAGAT